TCTAGGGGCATGTCAAATTCTTTTAGAACTTGACAACAAAAAAATAATGGCAGCAAAAGAAACTGCAATTGAATTTCGCACTAAAAGAATTTCTCTCACCAATGTTAGACCAGAAGTTCTTAATGAAATCTATAAATTTTCTTTTCACCTTCAAAGACTTGTTGCAGAAGAAGTGCATGCCGTTGCAAAAAGACTAGAAGAAGGAAAGTGCTTACCAAACCTTGTAAGTGCAGAATGCTCATGCAGATTCTTTAATCAGTATATGTTACCGTGTCGCCATATTTTTCATAAACATTTTTTTTTTTTTTTAACAGTATTCATTTATTATCTAGGGGCATGTCAAATTCTTTTAGAACTTGACAACAAAAAAATAATGGCAGCAAAAGAAACTGCAATTGAATTTCACACTAAAAAAATTTCTCTCACCAATATTAGACTAGAAGTTCTTAATGAAATCCATAAATTTCCTTTTCTCCTTCAAAGACTTGTTTTAGAAGAAGTGCATGCCATTGCAAAAAGACTAGAAGAAGGAAAGTGCTTACCAAACCTTGTAAGTACAGAATGCTTATGCAGATTCTTTAATCAGTATATGTTACTGCGTTGCCATATTTTCCATGAACAACTTTGTGGTACCAATATTTTAACACCAGAAGCTTGGGAAAACTTTCAAAGAACATTTGAAGAGGGTGGCTTGGAGGTATATCAAACACGTGGTATTGTGGAAATACCTGTTGTTCAGACACCTGCAGCTGATAAAGCAGCCAAAAAAAGTCAATCAAAAATGAATGAATTATTTGAAAGAACCAGAGACTACTACTATAGATTGGCAGAAAAAAGCATAGACAAGGCATCACGATTTGTTGGAAATTTGGAAAAAATATTAGAACCGGTGATTAATTAAACAAAAAAAAAAAAAACTATATGTTGGATATTGTTTTGGAATGAAATGAGTTGAAAGGATAAAGTGTTTATTCATTATTGGGGATGAAAATCGAAAGAGATAGCACAAGGCATTCACATTCATTCTATAAAGCTGGATTGTAATTCTTTTTTTTTTTTATTCACCCAAAGTTTTTTTTAATAAAACTTATGATATTAAAGGTTTTTAAACACTTAGAGATTAGTAAATTTTCTTTATACTCGCGCACAAATAATACAATAAATAAATAAATAGTAACTATTCACAAGCTTAATTTTCTTCGTATTTTTCACTATGCACTAATCTGATTTAAAGGAAATTAAATATAAATTATTCATTAATCTGAATAGCTGAATTTAACTTTTAAGTTTAATAAATCTCCTCATTTTCTTCGTATTTATGCATCAAATTAACGAATTAAATAATAAATATTCACAAACCTGAATAACGCACTGAATTAAAGGAAATTAAGCAGTAAATATCTCATGAACCTGAATAGCTGATTTTAAATAGATTAATAAATATTCTTTACTAAATTGACCCAAATAAATGAAACCTAAATTCATAAATTTCTTCATATTTACGCACTTTAAATTAATGTGAATTAAAGAAAATTAAATAATTATATTTATGAATCTGAATAGCTTAATTTAAACAGCTTGATTAATAAGTATTCTTTATGCTTATGCGCTGAAACAACACAAACAAATGAAATTAAATCGTAAAAATTAACCTGAATTAAAGAATAAATAAATATTCATGAATCTGAATATTTATTTATTCAATTTTTTAATTTATTAAAATCGCCATATTACATTTTTTTTAAAAAAAAACCATATTAACCCTCTCAATTCTAACTATATTTGAGGCTGCTAACTATGTTATTCTAATTCTAGCTTCACAATCAATAGCAAGTCTTTTCCGGATTATGTGAAGATTTTCAGGAGGAAAACTTTCTTCCACTTGATTCTTGAGGTTTAAAGTCTACAAATGAAAATTAATTCATTACTGTTATCCAAATCGTATCCATTAAATTTTGTCTATGTATTATTAACAAGAACTCACCGCTTATTAACGTTTACATTAAGAAAAGCGTTCTCCGACGGTTGACATAGCCATGGCAGTGATCGCGTAATTTTTTTTTAGTTTTCCGTTCACTATTCATTGTGGGTCCTTTTTAATAGCCGCAAGCTGCTCGTCTGCTGCAGGATTTAGCCGGAACTTTGCTTCTTGGGTCGTTTGCTGCGAATACCTTTTTTCTGATCAGAGTCGTTGCTATAAAAATTTATAAATTAGACTCTACTTATTATTATTATTATTATAACTACTAGCTTATCGCAGGGTTTTTTCTTTACAAATAGTGTTCTCACAGAGAACTTCAAGCTAGTAAATACGGAATTTCAAATATGTAAAGTTTGATTCTCAATAAAAGAAAATTTTTTTTTTTTTTTTAAAAAAAAAAAAAAAAAAAAAAAAATTTATACATTGGCACGGGGTGGGAT